TTATATTATAATTTCATTTTCTAATTCAGTCTAAAGTCTTTTTTTTTTTTTTTTAAGATAATTCCCCAAGTCAAAAATTTAGTAACTATGTTGGCAACACAACCCTTTTCTACATAAAAAATTTGAAAGCATTAACAATTTTACATTATATTGCCAACATAATGTCACTTTAACTTTTATCTTTAAAAAAAAAACAGACTTCATTCATGAAGTGCTTCGCTATGGTTCAATGGTGTTATAATAGTTTTTCTCTTAGGGTTCTTTTCACCACCGAGTTTTTACTCACGGTTGATAAAAAAGAACGAATATTTTTTTTGTTTTCTCCTCACAAAATCGAAAAGGTTACCAAAAATACCTCAAAAACTATAACAATTGATCAAAATGACGATCGCCAACTTCAACACACTTGTCAAATCACTTCAAAAATCAAACACACAGTTTATCAAGAGGTTCCCACAACACCGGATAATATGATGGAACACATAAGAAATGCTTAGAGCTGTCAGTAAAGAAACTGTAATTTGGTGCCATGAAAGCTTTTTACAGCGAATTAACAAGTGTGTTGAAGTTGGCGGTCGTCAATTTGATCAATTGTTATATTTTTTGAGGTATTTTTGGTAACCTTTCTCTAGTTTTCGATTTTGTGAGGTGGAAAAAAAAATTATTCGTTCTTTTTTATCAGCTTAAATTGAAACCGGATCCAAAAATGCTTCAAGTAAAAGTTACTTGCTTTTTTCTGTAGAATAAGATTCTGTAATAAAAAAATATATTTCCATTGAAAAAAAAAGAGTTGACCTTGAAATAACCTTGAAAACGTTGTCAAAGTCAAAAATCAGTATCGCCATTTTGTTTTCCACGTGATACCATGTAACTTTTATTTGAACTTTTTTTTTCAAAAACGCACCGTTTTCGAGATATTAGACTGTCTCAAGTTAAATGGACCACCCTGTATAGGCATGCTGACTCTAGTTGTCCTAACATAATGCTATCTGACCATGTCCGTCATGTTTTTTATCAAATAAACAATGGATTGAGAAATTTTCTGCTGTTATGAAACTCTTTCATCGCGATTAATTTTTTACACATTCATAGGTGCGTGGGCGTAGCTTGTCCCGCTACGTCACTTGCTGACTCGAGTATAGTTATATACATCACAAATACAAGCTTATATTACATTTTCAGCTTTCATGAAACTCTTGCACTTTTTTGGCGCCGGCTCTCGGACTAATAAGGCTATCAGACGCCAGCCTTCTGGACTGTAAATTCTGAACATTAAGATTGGTTGGACCATCTTAACCACAACCAGTAGCCAGGACTACTCTGGTTGATTGTATCAACTCTTATCACCTGGAACGGTATCGCACTAGCTTTAATTAACCTATCTATCTATATTTTATTTGTTTATTTACATTCTATCCCTATTTGTACACCACAGTGATCATTACGGTATTTCAGGGAGTAATTCAGTGCTTGTCCCAATGTGGCAAATGAATTATTAATATAGGTAATTTAGCTAAAAATAACCTGATAAATTTATGTCAACTTACTGGTAGTTCTGGTTACGTAAGTGTAAGATAACCGCTCCGACAACTAATTATTAATTTTTTTTCTATTTCTCTTCAATTTATATTTACAACTTTTCAATGTATACCTTTTTTTTATTATTCATTTGGTTATTGAGTTTCAATAACATTTTTGCATTTAAATTTAATTGTTTATGACTAGCAATTATTTCAAAAGTATAGCATTTCTGTATTTGTTAGTTAACGCTTCCTTACAAGGTCATTTTATTAATTGAATTAATGACAATTCAGTGATTATACCTTTTATTAAATAGTAAATAGTTTTCACACTTTGGTAATATTGCTAATTTACTTGATTATTCTTTTTTTTTTAAATTATTATCTCAATGTATGGTTCATTGTGGACTGTGGCCATTTGGTAAATAAACTTACTATAGCACTTCATTTGACTTGACTTTTATTTGGTTTTATGCACACAGCCTAGTTTTAGCTTTTCTTAAATATTTTTCTTTTTGTTTATTATTGTTTGCATTGTAAGGACCTGGAGCCAGATAACATCCTGGAGAGTCCGACTCATCTGTCCAGAGTCGGTGGCGCCCAAAACTAAAACCCACCCCTACTCTCTGAATTGCTTAGTTCTGAGCTAGGGCATAATTTGCACGCACTTCGACCTTCAGTCCTACAATCTCAAGTTCTTTATTAAATTTCATTTTTATTTTTTTTATTTTTAATTTATTTTTTTTTATTTTTATTTTCATTTTTGTTTTTTTTTTTATTTTTTTTTTTCTTCTAAACTTTCAGCGGAAAAGCGTGGCAAAACATACTAGACCGGTGGCCCAGCGTCAAATCACCCCCCTCATCGGGCACAAAATTTTCATTATAGGTACTCGAAACAATTTATCATTCGTAACCGAAAACCGCCCGTCTGCCAGCGATGGGTGGTAGCCCGCTCCTGTGACCGCCCCCCAAATAAGGGAATTTTGATCAAAAACCCCCCTTACGAGTACACAAATGAAATTTTTTGGGCATGTAGAGAATTATATTAGAAACCTAAAAACACGCGGCAGACGTCTTCCAGTGTTAGCCCGTCTAGGGCAGACGCCTTCCAGTGGTAGCTCGTCCAGGGCAGACGACCTTAAAAAAAATATATATGACGTGAAACTCCCCTTACGAGTACATTCACAGAAGTTTGTAGATTTAAACAGTCAGATTGGTGTGCTAAAAATGTATGGCAAACGCCTTCAAGTGGTAGCCTGTCCAAGACAAAATTACGCTGAAGCGTTTCTTATTATGGATAAAGAAATTTTTTGAAGTTTGACGATGATAGAGTTGACCCTAAAACACAGCCAAGAATAGTTTTTTCAATAAAGCTAGGTGTGGGAAAGTCACTACGGGGGGAAGTTGATAATTTGTTCGAAAATTCTTGAAAAATTAATAATGCTTTGTAGGGATTTTTTGTCATTTCAGAAAAAAAGAATTGACCTTTAATCACATCCGAGAATACTTTCTCTAGTCAAGTTAGGTCTGGGAAAGTCACTGCGGGGACTAAAAAGGTCGCTTATCGCATAAGTTTTTCCCCTCTCTGATATTTTATCTGTTTACCCATCAGTTGAATGGCCTGATCGATATTTTATAAACTTCATAAATCTATCCCTCCAAATTCCTAGAATTCTCTTAGCTTCACGCATAAATTGTTTTTTTGAAATTGGTTTTCAGTGTCATGGAATGTGACTGACCTAACTTTAGGTGCAACCTTGAACCTTTGCCAATCCTGAACAAATGAACCGATTTTTTTAGTTTGCAGCCCTTTTCTTCTTTCATCGAAGCTAGAATTTTTTTCAGATTTTTCAAATAAAATAAAAAATTGTGAAGACATTTTTTACAAAATCTCGAAGCGTGTAAACACTGTAAAAAGTGGAGTTTTACAAAAATAGTTTTTATTCTTTTTAAACAACAAATCCCTTAAATAGTCCCATTCCCTATTACCTGGACTGCGCGCGTCGCTTGTAGGCTGATGGTGAGCGACCAATGAGGAAAAAGTTTGTTACAGGCTTGCGTCATATTCTTATTCAGGGAATAGTTCAGAATGAATCGTTCCTTCTTTCTTTGTAACGTGTAATTCGACAAAGAGCAAACTAATACTTTACATATTACTTGAACTCACCGCAGTGTCGCTTTTGCAACTTCATTGAGCGATGCTGCCGGATGAAACATTCATCAAAATAGAAGTGCAAACGATGTTCATCCACTTTAAAGCTCTTCTCTTGTCTGATTAAAGGCGTTGTAAAACACTTGACACTATATCACTTCTTTAATGTTATAATGTTCGATTTGTATTGTCTACATTTGTTCTGGAACACTAGAGTCTGGCTACACTGCAGCCCCCAGTCGCGCGCGCATTCCATGTTTTATTATTTTCTAATTTGTATTTATTACAATTATTAAGCTCTCTTTTCCTAATTATGCGAGATAGGTCTATTATATTTAATTTTCTGAGAATTTACAAAAAAGTTATTGAAAAATGAAATGAAAATATACATAATCTGTGTTTTGGTTCCTCTTATGTTGTAGTTTTGTTAAATGCTTTATAAGGAACGCTTCAGCGTAATTTTCTCTTGGACAGGCTACCAATTGAAGGCGTTTGCCATGCATTCTTAGCACACCAATCTGACTGTGTTTAAGCCTACAAAATTTTGTGAATGTACTCGTAAGGGAAGTTTTACGTCATATATTTCTTTTTAAGGTAGTTTTTTGAAGAGGCTACCACTGGAAGGCGTCTGCCACGTGTTTTTAGGTTTCTAATATAATTCTCTACATGCCCAGAAAATTTCATTTGTGTACTCGTAAGGGGGGTTTTTGATCAAAATTCCCTTATTTGGGGGGCGTCACGGGAACGGGCTACCACCCATCGATGGCAGACGGGCGGTTTTTGTTAACGAATGATAAAGTGTTTCGAGTACCTATAATGAAAATTTTGTGCCCGATGAGGGGGGAATTTGACACTGGGCCACCGGTCTATAGGAATAACCTATATTCTAAATTTTCCTAGAGCCGACACGTAGAAAACACAAAGCAATCTTGGCGCTCATGGTCTGCAAAAACATCGCTGGCAGACCGTGAGGCTGTAAACCATCAATCCTGCAGTCATCAATTCCAAGATAGTATGGTAATGTGTACAGAACCTCAATGAGTTAGAAAAAGTAAACAGCGCAGACACACTCGAAAGATCGGGAGCCTCCATTTCTCCTCCACTGGACAGAACCATTCTGGGTCCTTATTCTTGAAACAGGGGAGCAGTGTTCCCAGGAGAACGAGTTTTTCGTCTTTGTTACTTATTATCATTTGCATATTATTGAGAAAGACGGAACACTCGTACTCCTGGCAACGCTGCTCCCCTGTTTCAAGAATAAGGGTCCTGCGGTCTCGGTAATCCGCACCTCCAAAGAATTCTCAAAAAGGAAGAGAACTGGCAACAACGAAGTGTGAGAACCGCTTTATTTATTTTTCAAATTAACATAAAATAAACTAAATAATTATGTTATTCACTTTAATAGTATGTACTTTGTGCAGCTGGCCAAAAAACATCATGTTAAATTAACGAAAGCATCTTTCCTTCAACGAATTTTGAAGCATTTGAATATAGATAGTTCAGACATACTTGTTCAGATAATGAATTCTGTGAATATTCATATTAATATAGGCAAGCTGCACACTTTGCGTAGGACAACAAAATTAAGATAAAAACATTCTTATATAACCGAAACAACACTTAGCCATAAAATATTAACTATTATGAGCCAATAAAATTAGTATCTAACAGCAATCCTTCAAAAAATAAATTTCCGATGAGCTGCGCTTTATTCGTATTACCAGAATCGTTTCAAGGTATAAAGGCCAAAAAAATATGCAATGTACATACTCTTATATCCTCTTGAGATTAACAAATAGCCAATACCAAACCCCTCTCCTAACTAATTTGCTTTTAACTTAAGGCCAAACTAGATTTTTATGTCTATACAAAATTACCATTGAAAAAATAACAAGATGCTTAAGTCACAAGATGGAAAGTCACCATCGGACTTTCCAAGTTTCCTTTACGTTGCTGAAATACAGTCGTATTCGAAAATATCCAGAATGTTGCAGTAAAAGTTTAATTTTATTGGCCCAAAAAGAATTAAAACTAAATAATATCTATAGCGGTTCAGGTTTTGGTAATTTACATATCTTTTTCAATGTGTGTCCTTTATAACTGTTTTTTCTTCTGCATCATCTGACTTCGAAGAAATAGCTTTTTCATTATTTTTACGCTTCAATCTGATACTTGATCTCAATTTTGAAGACATTGTAATGTCTGTATTATCCGATTTAGTTTTAGATCTTTTAGGCATCTGTTTAGTTGGTTCAGTTTCTTTTTTTCTCTTCAACAATTTTCCTTCAGTTTTAGTTTTCACCTTTTTAGAGTCTTCCGGGCTGATAGTTTTGTTTTCTTCTAGTTCTTGTTGTTCAAGCTTTTCTTCGTTTTTTTGGGAGGCCCTTTTTTGGTTGAATTCCAATAGACGTTTTTTTAGTTCGATTTGTTTTCTTGATTTCGCGGTCAAGGGATTTGCACTCTGCAATGGAGTATGTTCTATGAAGCGTAGGGCGTATTTTTCTATTGCGGACAACTGAAATTGAGAGAGATAAGTGAGTAAGTACTATAGTTAAGTTAAAAATGTGCAATATACACAGAAATAGATCATTCGTGAATCTTCACAAAGATAACGTCTTCAAAAAAAGCAAATCAAAGAGTGTTTTAATTACGAAAACATACGTCGCATTATTGTTTCTTTATTGGTCAAAATTTTTGACAAAACAAATTCAATGACAAAGTGAAAATAGTATATTAAAATACAAGTTGCAGAAGGCCACATATTCCGGCACGAATTCGAAATTTGGTCACGAGCGACGAAGGAGCGAGTGGACGAACTAATGAGTGCGAGAATAGATTTCTGCAACGTGAGTTTTATACTATTTTCTCGATTTTGGATTTTATTTTTCATAAAAAAAAAAATTTGTCGCTTCGCGTCGTTCGTATAACTGTGTTTGCGTGCGGAAAAGACACTTTGCGCACGTGTTAGGAACTAAATTTTTCCTACGAGCTTCATATCAGGTAGGTAACAACCAAAATTTAGAAAAAAAAACAATAATTTGTTCAATTATTTTTAATTAACTTGAAGCGAACCTATGCAGTTATCAAAAAATTACATAAGAAAAAAAAATAACAGAAAATCATCCTTTATCTTAAAACGTTCAAATTTGATGAGAAAGTTTGTAGATTCTTGCATATCAATAGAGAACAAATCTGACAATGCGTCAAAGTTAATTAAATTTGGTGTTTGTATAGATGTTGGCTGATATAGAAACAGAGGAAAAATTTGTCATCATGTGTCAACGTCGACAGGACAGGTGCACTTATTGTTGCTTGACAATTATTTTTACTTTTCGGCACTCAGTGCGGATAAGGCCTGTATCCGCACTGAGTGCGGAAAAGTGCAACTTTGAGAACCGAAATGCGTGCGGAAAAGTACTACTTTTCGCACGCTCGTAGGAAGTAGTTATTTTCCTAACAAGTGCGCAAAGTGCTACTTTTCCGCACGCAAACACAGTTATACGAACGGAGTTCGGATACGTGTTTGCGTGCGGAAAAGACACTTTGCGCACGTGTTAGGAACAAAATTTTTCCTACGAGCTTCATATCAGGTAGGTAATAACAAAAATTAAAAAAAAAAAGATAATTTGTTTAATTATTTTCAATTAACTTGAAGGGAACCCTATGCATTTATCAAAAAATTACATAACAAAAAAAATAACAGAAAATCCTCGTCAGAGCTGTTCATCTTAAAGCGTTTAAATTTGATGAGAAAGTTTGTACATTTTTGCATATAAATAGAGAACAAATCTGACAATGTGTCAAAGTTAATTTATAATCGGTGTTTGTATAGATGTTGGCTGATATAGAAATAGAGAAAAAATTTGTCATCATGTGTCAAAGTCGACAGGTGCACTTATTCTTGCTTGACAATTATAATTACTTTTCGGCACTCAGTGCGGATAAGGCCTGTATCCGCACTGAGTGCGGAAAAGTGTTACTTTGAGCCCGGAAATGCGTGCGGAAAAGTACTACTTTGCGCACGCTCGTAGGAAATAGTTATTTACCTAACAAGTGCGGAAAGTGGTACTTTTCCGCACGAGACGGCAGTTGCACGAACGACGCGGAGCGGAGTTCGGGCAAGCCGTCGAGGGTGGAAAAGACATTTTCCGCAAGAGGTAGGTACAATATTTTTCCTACGAGTGCTTTTGTCCATCTTATTTATCAAAAAAAATGTTCCAATACGCAAAGATTTTATAATGATGGTACAAAATAGCACATAATATAATAGTACATTAAAATACAAGTTTCATAAAATGTCTTATGAAACGAATATTTTATACTTTTTTTTCTATTTTGGTATCGTTTAATTGAAAAAAAATAAAATAAAATTCTTGGAATTTTATTCTCATGCGAGCGTGCGCAAAGTAGTACTTTTCCGCACGCATTTCGGTACTCAAAGTTAGACTTTTCCGCACTCAGTGCGGATACAGGCCTTATCCGCACTGAGTGCCGAAAAGTAAAAATAATTGTCAAGCAACAATAAGTGTACCTGTCGACTTTGACACATGATGACAAATTTTTCCTCTGTTTCTATATCAGTCAACATCTATACGAACACCGAATATAATTAACTTTGACACATTGTCAGATTTGTTCTCCATTTATATGCAAGAATCTATATAAACTTTCTCATCAAATTTAAACGCTTTAAGATGAACAGCTCTGGCGAGGATTTTCTGTTATTTTTTTTTTGTTACGTAATTTTTTGATAAATGCGTAGGTTCGCTTCAAGTTTATTAAAAATAATTGAACAAATTATCGTTTTTTTTTTTAATTTTTGTTGTTACCTACCTGATATGAAGATCGTAGGAAAAATTTTGTTCCTAACACTGCACTGCAAATACTTTTCCGAACTCCGCTTCGCGTTGTTCGTATAACTGTGTTTGCGTGCGGAAAAGTAACACTTTGCGCACTTGTTAGGAAAATAACTATTTCCGCACGCGGCTGCCGTTTGGTGAAGCAGCCAAGTGCGGAATAGCTATTTACCTAACAAGTGCGGAAAAATATTTTCCGCAAGTGTTAGGTACAATATTTTTCCTACAGGCGTAAAAATGTAGAATTTTTCTTTTTTTTTTGACAGCCGTGCGGTAAAATTTTTTCCGCACTGACAGCCGGGCGGAAAAACTTTTTCCGCACTGATATGCGTTCGGTAAAATTTTTACCGCACTATGCGGGAAAACTCATTTTATGCACGCATATCAGTGCGGAAAATCGATTTTTTCTACTGACGTTTCATAATAGCAACTTTTCGATTGTCATTTCAGTTTTGAAACGACATTCTTTTAGGCACTGAGTGCGTGAAAGTTACTTTTAGGCACTCAGTGCGTAAAAGTGACTTTTGAATGCGTAAAAGTGACTTATGAGTGCGTAAAAGTAATTTTTAAGCACTAGTGCCTAAAAGTGTCATTCATTATTCAGAAATAAAAAACACACTAAACACATATTTGAATTTTGTTTTGTATTTATTATGAATATTGAAAATGGAATTACTGAATTGAACGTTTGGGTTACTCAAAACAGAACTTTGTGTTATTACCTACTTTCTAGGATTTTAATTATTGATGTCGAATTTTGAAAAGAAAATCGCATGAAAAGTGTCAGGTGTCAAGTAAAAGCAGGTAACAAAGATTTTGGGTGTAATCGACTTATTCACATGAAATAAAATTGTGTTTTTTTATTATAAAATGCCAGTAGAAAAAATCTGTTGGACGTGTTGGACGTGTTGTCCAACTCGGCTTTGCCTCGTTGGACAATTTTCACGTCGCGTGCCTAAAAGACGCTCATTTCGTAACTTATTGTATAAATAGCTATTTCCGCACGGCTGTAGGAAATAGCTATTTACCTAACAAGTGCGGAAATAGTTATTTTCCTAACAAGTGCGCAAAGTGTTACTTTTCCGCACGCAAACACAGTTATACGAACGACGCGCAGCGGAGTTCGGATGAGTGTTTGCGTGCGGAAAAGAAACTTTGCGCACGTGTTAGGAACAAAATTTTTCCTACGAGCCTCATATCAGGTAGGTAACAACAAAAATTTAAAAAAAAAAACGATAATTTGTTCAATTATTTTCAATTAACCTGAAGCGAAACTATTCATTTATCAAAAAATTACATAACAAAAAAACAGGAAATTGAAATCCTCGTCAGAGCTGTTCATCTTAAAGCGTTTAAATTTGATGCGAAAGAAGTTTGTAGATTCTTACATGTAAATTGAGAACACAAATCTGACAATGTGTCAAAGCTTATTATATTCAGTGTTTGTATAGATGTTGGCTGATACCTATAGAAACAGAGGAAAAATTTGTCATCATGTGTCAAAGTCGACAGGTGCTTGACAATTATTTTTACTTTTCGGCACTCAGTGCGGATAAGGCCCGTATCCGCACTGAGTGCGGAAAAGTGTAACTTTGAGAACGATAATGCGTGCGGAAAAGTACTACTTTGCGCACGCTCGTAGGAAAAATATTTTTCCTACGAGCGTGCGCAAAGTAGTACTTTTCCGCACGCATTTCGGTTCTCAAAGTTACACTTTTCCGCACTCAGTGCGGATACAGGCCTTATCCGCACTGAGTGCCGAAAAGTAAAAATAATTGTCAAGCAACAATAAGGGCACCTGTCGACGTTGACAAATGATGACAAATTTTTCCTCTGTTTCTATATCAGCCAACATCTATACAAACACCAAATTTAATTAACTTTGACACATTGTCAGATTTGTTCTCTATTGATATGCAAGAATCTACAAACTTTCTCATCAAATTTAAACGTTTTAAAAAAAGGGCTCTGACGATGATTTTCTGTTATTTTTTTTTTGTTATGTAATTTTTTGATAACTGCATAGGTTCGCTTCAAGTTAATTAAAAATAGTTGAACAAATAATTTTTTTTTCTAAATTTTTGTTGTTACCTACCTGATATGAAGCTCGTAGGAAAAATTTAGTTCCTAACACGTGCGCAAAGTGTCTTTTCCGCACGCAAACACTTATCCAAACTCCGCTTCGCGTCGTTCGTATAACTGTGTTTGCGTGCGGAAAAGTAACACTTTGCGCACTTGTTAGGAAAATAACTATTTCCCACGAGCGTGCGCAAAGTAGTACATTTCCGCACGCATTTCCAGGCTCAAAGTTACACTTTTCCGCACTCAGTGCGGATACAGGCCTTATCCGCACTGAGTGCCGAAAAGTAATTATAATTGTCAAGCAACAATAAGTGCACCTGTCGACTTTGACACATGATGACAACTTTTTCCTCTATTTCTATATCAGCCAACATCTATACAAACACCAAATATAAATTAACTTTGACACATTGTCAGATTTGTTCTGTATTTATATGCAAAAATCTACAAACTTTCTCATCAAATTTAAACGCTTTAAGATGAACAGCTCTGACGAGGATTTTCTGTTATTTTTTTTTTGTTATGTAATTTTTTGATAAATACATAGGTTCCCTTCAAGTTAATTAAAAATAATTAA